CTTAATGGTAGGAATTCTTCTGGTCTGTCATTTGGATACTTTGGGGGGAAAACAATGATTCTCCTTCCTTTCATCTAAATGCTTTTATTTATAAATAGGAACTTTTAGAAACAAAAAAATATCAACAACTACAAAATGTACAATTCAATATAAAAAAATATCGATAATTAGCCATCTTAGCTTTGTAAATTTTCTGGCTTGGCATTCCAAGGTTTTACAAAACTCCGTTGACTATTCACAGTCAAGTTGATTTTATCTGAGCTGCCCCACAGCCTGGCTGTGGGTGAGAACCCTGCTCGTTTACTGCCCAGCACTCCTGTGCATGTGTCCCTCAGCTGCTCTGGGCTCTGTGGCAGGTGGCATGCAGGTGTGCAGAGCAAGCCCACTAAAGTCATGATTATAGAAACTGTCCAGCTTCCTGTTGTTCCTCAAGTTGCCCTCATACTGAAAGGTTGACAACTGGGCTTTTTAATATCACTGTTTATGTTGGATGGACTCTTGTGTTATTACCCATTGCTTTCTGAACTCAGTTCAGCATCATTGGCTAGAAAGAGGTAAACTCAAAGAAACCAAGGACCATGTTAAAGTTCTAAGCTGCTGTGGACCATGCAGCTGCCTTTTCTCACACTGGATATCTGACTTCCTAGGAAATCTAGGAGTGGCCCCAGGAGGTAGCCCCTTACCAGGATCCTGCCACCTAAGGACAGTAAATCTTATCTCCAATCTTTAAATCAATTCTTCCTTTTGTATCACTTGGAAGAGGCAATTATTAAGAGCTAAAAAAAGTACCTGGTCTGATTTCTACATTTTGAGTGGAATAGAGTTGATATAACATAAAGAGAAATATAGTATACAAGAAAAAGGGGGGGGGGAACCCCAAACTGAATTAATACCAACTCACAGTGAACTTAAGCTGTAATCCTTACGGGAAGACCCTGATGAGATGGATTGACTCAGTGGCTGGGGGACTGGGTAGGTGTGTTGAGACAATGAAATTGGCTCAGGACAGAGCAGGGTTCAGAGCTGTTGTGCATAATGTCACTATGAGTCACAAATGACTCAATGGCACATAACAACAACAACAAAAACAACAATAATCTTTATGGAAGCAGACTGCGTTGACCTTTCTGTCAGCAAGCACTATTAACCAGAGCACCAACAGTGCACTCTGGGGCAGGAGGAATTTGATACAACAAGAATGGTGGAAAAGAATGATGAGGATGTTCTGAAGAAAAACACTTATCTCCTAGGTGTGCCTGCATCTGCTTGCCCAAAATGTCAGGATGAGAAACCCTACCCTTGGGCTATGTTAAGCTACCATGCCCCTGGTAAGTCTACTCCTTTTCCCAGCCCCGGCCCCTAACACAGTCTAGTAGACCCAAATAAATGATTTTGTTCCAGTGGCCTCCATTTAGTTAGACCATAGATCCTCCTCCCAGACTCCACATGGGTTCCTTCCTAGAGGGTTTCCTGAACATGGCATTGCTCCTGGCAGAATTCTCTGACTCCATAGCTCTGGTTAACATCCAGAGGGGAAAAAAATGCTGAAGAAATCAGACCCAAATTAACATGCCTCTGTGGATGAGCCTATCAAATACTTGAATCACAATAGCTCAATGCTGCTGTTGACAAACAAGCTAGTTCCATAAATTTGAAACTGTATGGGCCCTTGGCCGTTTCAACTTGGACATGGAAGAGCCCACATAAGCAAAGCACCCCTAGGAGAATGGAGTGTGGGGCCCTGTTCTCTTCAGGATGCCTCCTTCTTGAGGGAGAGCCCCTTTGCTGCCTGCGTCTTTGAGAAGTGAGGAAGGAGACATGTGGCCAGGTTTCTATAATCAACTTCCAAATGAGCAGATTTGCCTTGGACTACCGCAAGTTCCCACTCCAAGGACAGAGTGGGGGCTCAGTCAGGGCTCTGGAAAGTAGCAGCCGCTCATGGAGCTGAACCAGAGGCTGGTAAAGAGGCAAAGCTGCATTTGAGCTTCCATCTTGATGTCCTAAGCCCGGGTCAGTCTGTGAGCTAGTGCTTAGAGGCTCCACCCCCAGGCTCCCCCGGCTAAACAGAGGGGGTCTACTGCAGCGCTCTGCTACAATACTGACTGAGCTGGCCGCCCCCCAAGCTGCAACTTAGACCTGGGTGGGTCTAAGAAGATGGCTAATTATCCCCATCATTACAAGTGGGGGTTACTTTTGGATGCCAGACTCAAGTTCCTGCATGGTTTCTTCTGATCCTCTGTAACTGTCCTCAAACACTGACCCTGTAACGTAAAGGCAGGATTGGGATTGTTAGTGTCCACTGACAGTCACAACACAGTTACTCTGAAAGAGCCTCAGAGGACCTCACCCAGCCCCCTTGTTTGTGGAGGGAAAGCCAAAGCCAAAGAAGGGGCATGATTTGCTCATACAGTCAGAAAAAGACAAGGCCAGGGCTCGAACTTGCATCTCTCGACTATGTTGTCGCTGTATATTGAGAAACTAATTTTTACTTCATGTGTGGGAGTTACACCACCAGTCTTTCTCTCCTAGAGGATTTGAGTGGATTTGAACTGCCAACCTTTCCATTAGCAGCCAAGTGCATAACCATCATGCCACCAGGGCTCCCCCTGCTGACTACCAAGAGAGCATGTGTCACCCACATCCTCTGGTGTGGCCTTGTGTCAACTAGCTCAGAAAACAGAACTGATAATAGAATACTTGTTTTGCAAACATCATTCTACCTCATCTGTGGAGTCAAGTCCCTTAACTCTAGGCAGAATATTTATGGTTTTTAAATTTTATTTTAAAAGTTAATGTTCTCCTGCTTAAACCCAGAATATTAGAATCTCTATCTAAAGCAACAAGAAAAGAGAAGACGATATTCACAATTGATTACAAAGTCTTAGCATTTTTGGCCATTTCCTAGAAAGAAAGTTGGTAGTTAACAGCGTATATACTCTCAATTTTTAGGAAGGGCCACTCATAGATTTTATTTTTAGACAGAGAAACTGAGGAAAAGATTAATGAACATTGTCTGAAGAAGTTCTTTGAAGTGAAGAAAAATGAATAATGCATTATTAGGCTTGGAGAAAGACTTATTAACAATCTGCGATAGGCAGATGACACAACCTTGCTCGGTGAGAACAAAGAAGACTTGAAGCATTTAGTGATGAAGATAAAGGACTCCAGCCTTCAGTGTGAATTACACCCCAACATAAAGAAAACAAATATTCTCACAACTGTACTAAATAAGAAAACCCACAATAAATGGGAATAGAAATTAAAGTTGTCAAGAATTTTATTTTACTTGGATCCAGCAGTCATAGAAAGAACAGTCAAGAATTCAAATGACATTGTATTTGGCAAATCTGCTGTCAAAAACTCTTGAAATTCACAAGCAAGGATGTCACTTTGAAGACTAAGGTGCATCTGACATAAGCCATGGGATCTTCAGCCACCTCCTATGCATGTGGAGGCTGAACAATGAATAAAGAAGACCAAAGGAGAATGTGTGCCCTTGAGTCAGTGGCAGTGACAAATGTTGAATATATATCATGGACTGAAGAAGAAGAAAGAAATCTTGGAAGAAGTACAACCAGACTGCGCTTTAGAAGCAAGGATGGTAAGACTGTGTCTTGTGTATTTTGGGCACAGGAGGGGCCAGTCCCTAGAAAAGGACATCTTGCTGAGTAAAGCAGAAAAGGTTAGCAAAAAAAGAGGAAGTCCCTCAGTGCAATAGACTGACCCTAGAGCTACAACAGTGGGCCCACACAGGTGATTTATGAGGCTGATGCATGACCGGATAAGGTTGTGGTATGCTGTACATAGGGCTCCTGTTTGTTGGAACTGATTCCATGGCACCCAAACAGCAATTAAATCAGGAGAGAACACAAAAGATGGATTCCTGGGCAGTTTGTGATTAATTAATTGAAGAGAAGGATGCAATTCTGATTATCTACATGGTCAGTTCAGAAGGTCATGTTACTAGTGCCTTTTATAAGGGCCTTCAACACCACCTTCAACTAAGCTTAGCAGGTGATGGTTCTATTCTCACCGTGTAACAAAAGAGCGATGACAAGGGGGCAGCAGGTGAGAAGAGAATAAATGATTCTCTGACAAGCACATTAATGAGTTCTCTAAATGGGAACTCCTGGTCAAGTCAATCCACCAATGAGGTAACGGACTGAAGCGGAGTTTTCACTGAATTTTCCAAGCTGGAAGGTACTCAAGAGGACTTAGAAGAAAGGTGTGGGCTTCAAGAACACCCTTTTGGCTCCTCCCTGGTCCCCCCAGCTTCCAGCAGCATTGATCAGGTAGAAATGTTACATTCCCTCTGGGAAGTTATGGTTACCGATTTAGAAGGAAGAAATGTGTTCTTATAGCATTAGGAATAAACTTAAGCTATTAAGCTTCATCCTGTTTAGAATGCATGACTGTGCTTATCCAAGCTCCTCGAAGATTAAACTAAGGGGCAGTCAAAGGAGGGGTTTCTTGTCTCAAGAGCACCACTCCATTAGGCCATAAGCTGCCTGTGACCACGGAGGGACTTGAGCTGATGTCTAACGGAGGAGTCCTAGGTAGGACTGGCAGTGCAATAAATCACCTGGCAAAGTATGAGAGAAAAGTGGCCGCAGAAGCAGTTCTTGGATGCGGGGAACGTCCAGGGTGAGGAGCTGGAAGTTTGATCTCATGAAAAAAGTCTGCATGAATCTTACTAGAAAGGATAATTCTCAGCAGAGCGGTCCCATAATACCCTCCAGCTCCACCAGAGCGAGGTTCTCAGACTCCGTGAGGCTCTGGTACACGTATCTGAAGAAGAGGCTTATGCTCCCCTGAAGTCACGGGGAAGCTGAGAGCCGTGAAGGGAAACTCAGATGAACACACACAAGAGCCAGAGTGCCCTTAACCAAACTCCCAGCAGCCTTGGCGGCAGAGACAGAAGGGAGTCCCTCAGATTGATATCAAAGAGACATGAGGGCATCATGACCCCCCCTCCCACCCCAAACACTGAATCTCCTCACCTTGGTGGAAGGAGACATACACCAGCCTCTCGTCAAACTTCTGGACCTGCCGGAAGTTGTTGACCATTTCTCTGGGGACAGGATCATCTATTTGTGTGCAGTACAGAGCAGTCTCCAGTGCCAGCAGCTGAGGGAATGAGCAGAAACACATCCCAGAGTCACTGTGATAGGTCTTTCCCTGGCCTTCCTGAGGAAGAGAGCTGCCAGCCCTGATCTCTCACTACAGAGAAGCACTGGAACCAGCCCCCCATGGTGCTTGAGAAAACCAGAGAACCACTCCATGCCAGGTGCCAGGCATGGCTGGACCTGTCCTCTCGTGTCCTGAGGCTGCAGAAGGTCAATGCGGTCAGTTCCTTGTTACCGTTACCTGGGGTCGTGGGGCCTCCTCAGCCTCTCCTGCCATGAGCCTCAGTTAGGACACAGCTCTATTTTAAAAAAAATTTATTCGTGTGTGTGTGTGTGTGTGTGTGTGTGTGTGTGTGTGTGTGTGTGTACTGTTGAATTAGATCTGACTAGTACAGGAGATTGCCCCTCTTTCCCAAGTGGAGCATCTGGTGGATTCGAACCACACACCTTTGGGATTGCAGTGCAGCTTCTTGCCACTAGGCCACCAGAGCTCCCTCTAGAACACAACTCTAAATCAGTGGAACTTGTTCTGATGGTCAAATCACAATAAAAAGCTAAAGAAAGGATTACACCACTCAAATAGAATCATTTTTAGATGGTAATCAGGGATGGGGAGGGAGAATGAGGGGAGTAAGAACAAATAGATAACAGATCTTATTAAAGATGCTCTGGTAGCCTAGTCTGTAGGAAGTTGTGCTGCTAACACAGAGGCCACGTCCCTCTAGTGGTTCCATTCCATCAGTAGGACTGAGGGGGAAAGGTGGGAAACCTCTTCCTGTGCAGTTTACAGATTCTGAAACCAAATTAGTTTTGGGAGAGTCAACCATGAGCTAGTTGTGACATGATGGCCATGGTAGTTGAGAGATTCTTAGTAAGATAAGCGCAGGAAAAGGGAATGACCAGACTTTGTGGGGATTGGAATTACTGTTCTAAAACAATGCACATGGATAAGTGGATGGAAATAAATACACTTTTGTAACTTACAGTCAAATCACAAGTATGAAAAGTTTTGAAAAGCAAAGACAAGATGTTTCTGGGTTTTGTGCTGTCTAGTCGAACTTTGGTGGCCTAGAGGGTAAGGAATTGTGCTGCCAAACCAAAGGTAGGTGGTTTGAATCCATCAATTGCTTCAAAGGAGAAAGAGGGAAAGTTTCTTCCTTTGCAATTTACAATCTGAAAACCGGCTGGAGGGTCAGCAGTGAGCCAGTTCTGATTTGATAGGAATGAGTAAATTTTTAGGATGTGAAGAGAAAAGAAAGGAAAAAAAGAAATGAAGGAAGGGAAACAAGTGTTTCACAGCACATATTATCTGACACCTCACTCCATGTCATTTTCAGACACCCACTTAGATTTTATAATCCAGGATATTACAGCTTTCCTGTGCATTCCTTCTCTGATTCATGTTGTTTATTCCTGTCTGCCTACTGCTGCCATGTATCTAGGTTACTCACATAAGCAGTTCACAGTAAAGCAGAGAGAGCAGCAGTGAGGCTGTGCTGGTCTCAAGCAGTCAGGAGAGCTGGGGGCCAGGAGCTAGCCTGGTGCTTTCTCCAAGTGGATCTACTCTCACTCTTTGTGAATTTCAGCTGTGGGGTAGAGGGGCCAGCAGAACTGACTTAGCATCTCAGCCATTTCACTCACCAGTGGGCAATTCTGCTGCCTACCTAAACTCACAGCTCTCAATTCCATCGTCAAAATGAGAGGGTTAGAAATGACTGCTAAGGATTTTATTTCCCAGTTTTGTATCATGCTGTGAGCTTCTTGAGCGCTGGGACACTGAATGAGTAATCATTCCTGTCATCTCAGCTTTCTCATTTGCTAAAATTCTTCCTTTACTCCGTTGTTGTAAAGGTTCCATCTACTTTCTCATCTGGGAAGCGGATACCATACAACTGCTGAAGGCTTTATATATATAGCTGTGGTGCCAACCCAAAGGCAAGTGGTTCAAATCCCCCAGTTGCTCCACAGGAGTTAGATGGGCAATCTCCTTCCATGCAATTTACAGTCCTCTAAAACCTGCTGGAGGGTCAGCTATCAGCTGATTCCAACCAACAACAACAACATTCATTTTCCTTGCTTGACTTGATTGCAGGCTGTAGCACCTCAAGAAGCATTGCAGTTGAGTGGATCCCAACTCATCGCGACCCCATATGTCATCGCAAAAGTGTGTTCCATGGGGGTTCAGCAGTTGACTTCTCAGAAGTAGACTGCCAGGCCTTTCTTCTGTGGTGCCTCTAGGTGGATTTGAACCCCCAACCTGTCCATTAGCAGCCAAGCACTTTAACTGGTACAGTGTAGACTCTGACTCAGATGAGCAGAACAGTTACCTGTTCTTGGGAAATCTGCACAGGGTTTCGGAAAACAGTCCAGATCACCGTGGGGTTGCAAGGCGGAGTGGTCAGGGACCCTCGATAGCGGTAGTACTCATCAGGCTTTTGGGGAAGCAGCTCTTCGATGTTGAAACCCGGAATGAGCACCTGCTGGCCTGGAGAGACATATGGGGAAGGCGATGATGGCAGGTCCACTCCACCTGGCGGAGCTGATCGGCATCTGATGGAGCCTCACAATGTGAGCTGGCCTCACTGTGGGCCGTCCTGCTCCAGAACCTGCTCACACCTCTGTCAACAACCTGCTGTCGCGAAGCCAGTGAACACAGGCAGGACCCACCCCTAAATTTGTTTTTCCTGAGGTCACACGCTATTGTTAACTGCAGTGGAGGCCGCTCCTAACTCAAGAAGGCCTCACATGTGACAGAATAAAGCAATGCCGGGTCCTGTACCATCCCATGATCAGCTGTGGATTGGACAGTAGTGACTCATACTTTTTCACTGACTGATTTTTCTGAAGGTGATCACCAGCCCTTTCTTCCTAGTCTGTCTTAGCCTGGAAGTTCTACTGAAACCTGTTCATTATCACCACAACACACAAGACTTCACTGGCACAAAAGGGGTAACTACACCTTTCTCCACCAGAGAACAAATAAGCATCCAAGAATCCCTCACCTTTGTACTTGACATCTTGAAGGTGACTGAAGATTTTGTCATATGATGGATTGAAGGAGCCCATCTACAACAGAGACCAGACAAGTGGATTGAACTTGAGTTATAAGGTAGAAATAGAATTCTATAGACAGAACCTGGATTGACAAAAATGGTAGTGGGAGGCTTAGCACAGGGACATAGCTACTGTGACAGAGGTCCTCCCTGGAACTTCCCCTGTACTAGGACAAGTATATGGATCACCAGGCTTTTAGGGAGTCAAGATGCCTTGTTTTCTGCTAATAGCATCATAGTTTGAAAGTCTCAAGGTGCAGGGAACAGCCTGTGCTCCTGTTTACGTGGTGAGCCTTAAACCCACAACTAACATGTAAATCTAACTCAGAACCAGTCGGAGCCCTGAATCCATGCAAGCAAATTCAGACAGATAAGAATTTTGGGAAATGAGGTAGATTCTGCCTTTGTTAGGTAGAGACAAAATGTAAACCCATCAAGAGACATTTCCTTTTTTATTTTTTAGAAATAGGATTAAATAAAAAATTATATTCCAGGTTCCAGATATCAGACAGCATATAGATACTGAGAATTGAATTGTACCAGGAATTCAGCCGTCTGGTGGGAGCAGTCCTGAAAGACCACTCCCTCTACCAGTTTTTTCCAACTAGGAGATTCCATGCATTACCCCACAAAGCTGAGACGTGTGTGTGTGTGTGTGTGTGTGTGTGTGTGTGTGTGTGTGTGTGTCTCAGAGCAACTGTCCCTTTCTGCTGGCCACAGAACCACAGAAAGTGCTGCCTTCAGGCCAAGCAAGAAGGAGCCCTAGCAGGGAATGTCCTCTGCTCTGGAGACCACACACAGTCAAACAGGAGTTTACCAGAACTGTGTAGACCAACCTGCAGGTGTGCGTGGAATAAGACACCATACTCACATCTCATTTCTACTTCAAATTTCCTTGTAAAAAGTTCTTACCTCAATGAGAACAGCCAGGACAGCGAGGCCCTCTGACTCAGTGCTGGCGACGCTGGCGTTGGGATACAGGTCCGAGTTATAATGCACAATGTGCAACTGTATTGGGAGAGAAGCTTCCGCTGTGAGGGCGTGAGTAATTGGTAGGAACCTTTCACTCTTGTGGAAGTCTGTACCCAAACGGAAGGGCAGGCCTCCTCCAAACCCCAGCTGGATCAGGTGTTTTGGAACCTCCCCTCAGGGAACCCTCAGTATTGCCTTTTCCTCAGCCTTTTTTTAGAGAGGCCTGGTGGCCTAGAAGGAGTTGCATTGTCAAACCAATGCATGCAGTTTGAATCCACCAGCTGTTCTGCAGGAGTAAGACAGACAGTCTCCTGTCGCTTTACTGCCTTTGAAAACCTGCTGGAGGGTCAGCTATGGCAATGGTACACAACAGTCCCCTCTCAATTGATCACTGCACTTGAGCAGACCATGCCAGTCGTCAGTGTTTGATACCGTGCCTGGAATGTAACCAGGGTGCACAATGGATAGATGAATGAATAGATGAGTGAATGGGTTCTTATTCTAGCCATGAAGCAGCTTAGCTGCTAGGGGCCGATTAATCAGTAATCCCAGTATGAACTGGCTGGCACTGAGTAAAAACACACAGACTTAATTGTGTTTACTCGCTAATCTGTGATAAGCAATTTCTCACGGATTTCATCACATCTTTGATGTGGTGGGGGACAAATGAAACTGGGTGCCTTTCAGATTGGTGGGAAGGCACAAAACCTTACTTATTGGGCAGCCTGGCCCTGTTTGGCTCACCCCTTCCGTTTTCTGACTTTTCCTGTGGAGTACAGTGCTGCTTTGTAACACTTGGGATTACCATGAGATGAAACTGACAGTCACCAGTTGGTCGGTTGGTTTGGCTGATTCTTTCCTATTCATTCTGGAGTTTAGGGCAAAATGGTATCATGTGCTGGCTCAGCCTTCACAGCCGTGGCGTCTCTCTGCTTGATCTGGAAGCAATGTGGGCATGGGAGACCTCCTGCTGCAAACATTCCTGCAGTGGGATCCAGCTGGCAGGATGCCCTTTTACCTCTCAGGGGGAGAAAATCACGGCTTTTGTGAAGGTTTTATCGACCATATTTTAAGGGGCTATGAAGCGAGAGTACAGCTCCATTCATAGAGATCTTCATCTTTACAAAGTAACATTCCGAATGCCTCATCCTTCTGAGCAGAAATGACTGACATCAGAAATGACAGAGTACTTTTGGAGACAGTCTCAGTTGAATTAGCACAAATTTTGACAATGTTTAACCTAGTTTTTAATCCAAGAGATGGGGTCACTTTATCTCCAAAGCCCCTTATTAGTAACTAGATCTGTGTCTCGGGAGCCCTGGTGGTGCAGCGGTTAAAAAATTTTGATTGCTAAACAAAAGGCAGGGTTCCTATGAGTTGGAATCAATCCAACGGCAGTGGTTTTGAGATCACCCTCTCCATAAAATAAATGCATTTTTGCTGATATTGTGCTTCTTATGACGATAAATATTGATGTTTTCTATTTGTTTATCTCATTTGTCCTCAATCATCTCTCTGCCATGTTATAGTTATAAATAGAATTCAAGTGTTCTTTATAGAATGCTGTTTGTTGTTGTTGTTGTACCGTTGAGTCAGAACTGACCCACAATGGACTCTCCAGTGAGTTCTCAGAGGCAGTAAATAGCATAAAAGGAGACTGCCCATCCTTCTCCCAGGGAGCAGCTGGTAAATTCGAACCTCATGCCTTTAGGACTGCAGCGCAGCTTCTTACCACTACACCAGAGCGCAGAATGCTATTTAATGTGCCCTCTTTATAACTTTTCAAGTGGACCTTGTTTGTTTTTTTAAATCACCTCAAATTATTTGATTTTTCATGTGGATTAAATTTATCTATTTACCTCTTAGGGATTTCTGGGAGCTTTCTACTCTAGTGCTTTTTCTCTGAGGGACCTAACCTGCCCTCTGCCCCACGCCATCCCTGGTATCTCTTTGAGAGCAGAATTCCGCTTGGCTCAAACCCCAAGCATCTAGATCCTTGTTTTCATTCTGTGGCTGACCTCTGAGCTTCTGGTCAACCTTGGTATATTTCCTCATGTGCTCAGATTCAACCCAGAGAAAGTGAAGGCCAGTACAGGCAGACGGAATTCCCTGTGAAGGGCTTTCAGAAGGCTCCCAGGGAGACTAACTCCAGAACCTGTTATTCTACCTGCCATGTGAGGGTAACCAGTTAGGTCTTCTCTTTCAATGGCCTTTGTGATCCAATACAATAGCTGGAAATATTTCAAAATGCACAAACCCTATTAAACTATACATTATCCCTTTATTTCCCATGCAGAGGTAGAAGTCTTCACATTATAATTGGCCTGAAGGGAACTGTAGTCCTTGACGTTTAGAGATGGGCCTGATCGGAACTGTGTGTACCTCTAACAGTGCCACCTGATGGGGCCAGAAGTATATTCCCTCCATACTTGGTGGCCTAATGGGTAAAGAGATGTACTGCCAACCCAAAGGTAAGTAGTTCCAATCCACCAGCTGCTCCGTGGAAGAAAGACTAACAGTCTCTTCTTCTACAATTTACAATTTCCAAAAACCCACTAGAGGATCAGCTATGAGTCGCTTGCCAACTTGGTGGCACGCGCAACAACAACATTCTTAGAACCAGACATGCAATCATCCTGAGATAGAAAGCAGTTCAGTAGTGATGCACAGAGAATGAGACAGGCCATTTTCCACTGCGGGCCTCATGGACTGACCAGTAGCATGCATTTCCTTATAAAATAACCATAATAACCAATTGCCCTTGAATCTGCCATGGCTCATGGTGACTCCACGTGTATCATATTAGAACTGGGCTGCACTGTGTTTCTCAAGGGCTGATTCTAAGTATGGCTCTAGGTCACCAGGCCTTTCTTCTGAGGCACCTTGGGGTAGGCTCAAGTGCCAGTCTTTTGCCAAGCAGATGATTTGCACTGCTTAAGGCCAGCTAGCTCGTGGCACTTCTCTATAGAAGTTCTTGCAGCCGTGTGGGCTCTGAGATGGAGTGCTCTGTTCCACCAAATGATCCACAGGGAACAGAGAAGTGCTCTGCCCTCCTCTCATTTCCCCTGGGCATTTGGGGTTAGGATTCCAGGTTGGCATGACAGAATGCTGTGCTATTATCCCCAGGTATCCCTCAGAGGGTCTCCAATTGTCATTGTGTCCTGTGCTTTATAATGCCAGTCAGCACTTAGTTTGTGATAAGGAAGAAGAGAGGCCTTGGATCTAAATCCCCAAAGCACACTCTCAGCCCGGGAAAAGGAAAGATAGGCTGAGAATGACTTAAGGAAAAGCTGCAACTTGGGAAGAAAGTTGAGCTTTGAACATTTCATTCCAGGCTGACCCTTTGCTAAGAAAGAGCATTTCCATCCCAGAAATATTGAATTGGAAGTTATAGTTTAACCATAACCGCGGGGTGATCCTTAGAGATTACAGGTGATTCTAGGATATGCCAGAACAGACTGGCTCAATCACTGGCAGAAAGACCGAGACATCTGGGGAACAGTTCAGTAAGATAATGTCAGGCATGTGAGCTGCTGAGACCTTAATCTGTGCAAATAAATGGAAGAAGAGCAGGTGGGTCCTAGTGAACCACCCCTGGAGCACTGTTTCCAGAGGACCATCACTCACTTGAAGCCAAAGAGTCAAGCTTAGCATGTTCAGAAGATGAAAGGACTCAGATATCACAGGGGGACTGTTACTTCTTGGGGTGCTGACAGAACCAGAGTGCTGTGCAGAGCATGCAGAAAGTCCTTTTCTCACATTCTGATCTTATCTGCACACAGGTATGAGGAGGGGCGCCATCCCACCCTCCCCCAGTGACCACAACCTTAGCCAGCCTGGCCCCACTCACCTCAGCAGCAAAGTGCCTCCCGCTGACAGTGTGCTCAGAGCCCTGGGGGTTATTCTGGTTCCCCCAGTGGAGGTGCAGCTGCGTGGCGCTGTATCGGGATGGGAGGCCCTGGATGTGCATGTCCGGGGACAGGTTCAGCTTCACTGTGAGGAGTGGAGACATAGCCCTTAGAGCCATGGCCAGCCAAGTGCTGCTGGACAGCAGTCAGCTGACACCACCTGCCTGGCCTCGGACAGCAAGGCCATGGATGTCTCAAAGTGAAGACAAGAGGGGTGCGCGCTACAGGTCAGGAGCCTGGGCTCTTTCTTTGAGAGTGTCCTGCTTCTCTGCAGCAACTCCAATAGCTTGGTACCTCCATTCTTTCCCTTGGAATGTGATACAGAGACTGTAAAACTAAAATCTGGATGAGAAGTCCACATATTAGACAATGGGTAGGAAGATTAGCATTTATGTCCTTATTGAGGTCAGGTGGATCTTGGCTGAAAGATAGTACCAGAAAGCTATTTGTTGTTGTTGTTGTTGTTGTTTAGTGCTGTTGAATATGACCCATAGTGATCCTATGAACAACAGATCTGAGCCCTATCCTGTCCTATCCTGTGCCATCCTCACACTTCCTGACACACAAGAGCTCATTGAGTCACTGTCAATCCACCTGGTTGGGGGTCTTCCTCTTCTTCACCAACGCTCCGCCTTTCCAAGCATCATGTCCGCCCCCCCCCCCAAGGAATAGTCCGTTCTTATAGAATCATGCCTGAAGTATGTGAGGCAAAGCTTTACCATCTTTGCCTCCAAGGGGCACTCTGTCTGCACTTTCTCTAAGACATATTTGTTCTTTTGTCAGCCTATGGAATGTTCAGTGCTCTTCTCCAACAACCCAGCTCAAAGGCATCAATTCTTTTTCTGTCATTCTTATTCATCATCCAGCTTTCAGATGCACAGCAAGTGACTGGAAAAACCATGGCCTGAATCAGAGATACCTTAGTCCTTGAACTGACATCATTACTCCTCAGTAACGTGGAGAGGGTCCTTAGCTGCAGTCTTTCCCAGTGAAATACATCTCCCGGCTTCCTGACTGCTGGTAGCTAGGGTGTTGATTGTGGATCTAAGTAAAATGAAGTTGTTGACAGCTTCTGTCTTTTCTCCATCTATCATGTTGCCTACTGGTCCAATGGTAAGAATTTTTGTTTTCTTGATGTTGAGATGACAGCTATTTAGCTATGTTTTAATGACTATGCAAAGGGATTTGACTGTGTGATTCATAAATTATGGTTAACACTCTAAGAATGAGTTATCTAGAACACTTAATTATGCACATGCATAGATCAAGAGGTAACTATTGAAATAGAGCCAAGTTCTGTTTAAAGGCATCTTCAGAGTCTCCCAGGTCCTCAGAGACATCCCCTGGTTTGTGTTCATGGGTCCTTCAGTAGGACCCTCCCTACCATATGGGAAAGAACAAAGCAGGAAGCCAAGGGAAGCTGTGTCACTCAGGCCCAGAAGGTCTCAACTCACCTGAATGGCCATTATTGATCAGCGTGAACCACTCGCTGGCAGACAGGTTGTAGCCTCGAAACTCGAGGGGTGTGAGGTTGGCATCATACTGGAGGATGTCGCTGTGCAGGTCGATGGGGGACTGCAGCAGGCCCCCACAGGATGGGTACTTCTGGAACCAACTCTTCTCTCCATCGGGACCTGGAAGGGGAAATCCAAGCCCAATATTAGGCCAGTTTTCCACACAGGATTTCTGCCCCCGCCCCACCTTCTAATTCTGTCTTCAAAAGAATAGTTCCTTTCCCCTAGAGAGAAATGCTTCAAGACTAGCAAATATCTCAAGACTCCTCAGGTCATCTTAAAATAGTATAGGAAAAATATTACAGACCTCACCAAATTCTGCTTTATTTTGTACATCCTTTTTTTTTTTTTTTTTACAAAACCTTGCCCTGTGATGACAGGTTGATTTTCAGCAATTTGCTGTTTTTAGGGTCTGTAGAGTTGGAAGTGATTCATAACTGACTTTCCAGCAGGGCTTCAGAGTCTATAAATAGCCTGAGAGGAGACTGTCCATCTTTCTCTCATGAGGAGCAGCTGGTAGATTCAAACTGCCTGCCTTTGGGTTGGAAGCACAACTCCTTACCATTAGGCCACCAAAACTCTCAGCAATTTGTTGTTGTTGTGTACCCTCAAGTCCGAACTAGCCCATAGATGACTCTCAAGCAGGTTTTCGGAGGTAGTTAACCACACAGAGATTGCTCATCTTTCTCTGATAACAGCTCATGGATTTGAACCACATGCCTTTGGGATTGCAGTATAGCTTCCTATCATCAGGCCACTAAAGTTCTCTTTCAGCAATTTAGTACCAGGTTATTATTATTTTTTTATTTTGTAGGGTTTACATACAAAGTTCATGAAATTAAAAAACAATGTATAGTATCAGTTTCTTGATCACCTATTCTGAGTCAGAGATTGCTGGGGCCTTGGAGCCACCCTGATGAGCACAATAGAGTGTTGACTTGAGTTTGCATTCTAGTGGGGAAGAATTTCTTGGATTAGATTGCTCCACAACCCCAGGAACTGGATGGATTTACAGGTACGATCTTCTTGATAGAAAAGTGAAGAGAACATTAGCTCTTCACACTTAATATCTCCTGGATTCACAAAGGAACAAACAGCTACGTCTTGGAGAAAGTGCAACCAGGATGCTCCTTGGAGGCAAAGATGGTGAAGCTTCATCTCACATACTTTGAGCATGTTGTTAGGAAGGGTTGGTCTTTGTAAAAGGCCATCATAGTTGGAAAGGTGGAGGGCTAGCAAAAAAGAGGAAGCCCTCTAACAATAGGTTCAAGTGTGTCAGAGATGGTAAGGATGCAGCAAGACAGGATAGGGTTCAGATCTGTTGTTCATAGGGATGGCACCTAATAAAACAAATATAGAATTCAGCCTAAGAATTCAGCTTCAAGAATGTCAAGCAATCCTAGGCCAGGAGTCATTGAGCTAAGGGCAGTTTGGGCTTGGATTTTATTATTGTTCTTAGGTGTTATGGAGTCAACAACTCATAGCAACTCTATGAACAGCTAGCCTGAACCCTGCCCTATCCTGTGCCATCCTCATTATCTCTGACACACTAGAGCATGGCAATTCTAGAAACTAATCACAGCATAACTTAAAAATCTCAGTGAAAAGAGACAGACTCTAAACAAGCAAACAAAACTCCAGGACTGGGCTCCTTGCTAACTTCCAGATAACATGGGCTCTCCTGGAAAAGAAAATAAACAAGCCCTGTTTTCAGATAAACTCTCCTACTCCCACAGGGAAAAGTCCACAAAGAATGTAAAGCTATGTAAAAGATAATCTCCCAAGGCAATTAAATGGATTTGCAGGCTGAGATTTCTCGAAAAGCAAAGAATTTGCTTGTCATGACTGGTTAGGGGAGGACCCTGGTACCCCTTAGGTTCCTTGGAGCAGGGAGCAAAGCTTTGCCATCTGGGGACCATTTATCAATATTTTGACACAAAGAAGGATGTTATCTAGAACAAAGAGGAAACAAACATCATTTCTTGGAACCTTTCCATAGACAACAGCATTGTTTGATGAGAGTATAAACGTGTATATCTGCCCCTCAGAAAAATCACGATTCTCACTAGTGCTCTTCTCCTCATTATGTGCTCTTCTTAAGAATAACAGAGAATCATACATCCAGAAATACACAATCTGGAGAGGATAAAATTGATGAATGGGACCTACTGAAGATTAAATCCCTGTGAATATAAAAAACTTTTCCCAACAGAGTGAAGAGAAAACCTACTGACTGGAAAAAAACATTTGGTAATATCACCTCAGACAAGGATCTCATAACAAAAGGTAACAGAATCTTTCAGGGTCTCCACAGGAAAAAGACCAATAACCCAATGACAAAATGGGCAAAAGACGTGAAAAGATAGACATCTGAAGAAATGCTCAAAATCACTGACAAGAAAAAAGATGTAAATAAAAACCATAATGACATACTGTCTCCAGTAGTAGTGGCAAAATTTAGCAGGACAGAAAGCACTAAATGTTGGAGAGGATGTAGAGGGTTAAGAATTCTCATACACTGTGGGTGGGATTGTAAAATGTACGAGCACTGTCAAAGGCAGTTTGGTGTTTCCTGAAAAAGATGAACATAGAAATTCCATATAGCCCAGTTATTCCACTGCTAAGAATATATCCCAAAAAAATGAGAACTGAGACACAAACTGAGATTTGCACACCAATGTTCATAGCAGCATTATTCACAATTCCAAGAATATGGAAACAGTCCAAATGTCCAACCACAACTGAATAGATTGAGAAATTGTGATACATTTACATGATGGACTACTATGCAGAACTCAGGAACAATGATTTAAACAATTACTACATAACTTGGGAGAGACCTGACAGACAGCATTATGGTGAGTGAAGTAACTCAGTCTCATAAGGACAAATACTGCATAAGATCATTGTAAAAATAGAAGGATAACTAGTTAAAACGTGTATGGGAATCCAAGGGGGAAGGGATGGGAGCAGAGAGATGAAGATGGGCAGGGAGGAAATCATAGGGTCATACAATTTGGTGGGTGGAGAGAGGGGATAGAGGAAATGGAAAGATTGGGTGAGGATCTGGAATGATAAGGTAATGGGCACAGTTCAATGGTGATAAATTATAAAATACAATGAATGGGAATAATTGTATGAAACCATATATGAGAGAAGGATAGTGTGAAACACAATATATATGAGCTTTGTATGCAAACCAATATAAAATAAAAAGTTCTTTTTTTAAAAAGGAGAGAGAATCAGATGATATACTTGGTGTCACCACCATCCAGTAGGCCCCATCTGGCTCAGAGAAGCTCATGTGTACTGGAGTAAAATTGTGTGGCATATGGTTTTTAGTGGGTGATTTTTCCAAAGTTGACTGCCAGCCCTCCTTACATTGTTTAACAGAAGATGTTAATTACTTATACCACTTGGGGATCCACTTGATGTCCATGTTCATTTAAAACGCTGAGAGGAATTGGTCTATGGCTTAGATCTTCTTGGTTGTGACATATTGGAACACACTGGAACTGATTTTTCAGATTGTCAACCTTCGGAAATGTCTTCTGGGAAATGCTGGAGTCTATAAATATTTAAAAATCTCCAATCCAACCTTTCACTAAATATGTATAAAATTTCTACTGAGCTTTCCGACTTTCATTTCCATGGCCTCAGGCTCTGAACTTACGGTCGCTTGACCACCCCAAGATGGCAACTGGAGGAGTCAAGGGGTCCAGAATGTGTGTGCAGACATTCGAGGAGCTAATGAGGCTAGGACAGGGTCTCAGTTACCTAATGCTACTATGACAGAGATATCATAAGCAGGTGGCTTTAACCAACAGGAAGTCTATGCTTTTAGAGTTTGGGAGGCTTGAAATCCAAAGTCAAGGTGCTGGCTCTAGGGGAAGTCTTCCTTTCTCTGTTGATTCTGGAGGAAGGCCCCCTTCAGCATCTGCAAGCCTTGGGCTCATTGGAGAGCTACATTTTGACCTCTTCCCTATGTTGAGGAGGGAGCTCTGATGCCCTAGTCCATAGAATGTTGTGTTACTAACACAAAGGCCATACATGCCTCACTGGTGCTTCTAATACACCAGCAGCTCCAGTACAGGACGATGGGCAATCTCCTCCAGTGCAATTAAGAGCTCTGGAAACTCACTGGAGGGTCACCTGTGAAGAAACTCACTGGAGGGTCACCTGTGAAGAAACTCACTGGAGGGTCACCTGTGAAGAAACTCACTGGAGGGTCACCTGTGAGGAAACTCTCTGGAGGGTCACCTGTGAGTCAGTTCCTTCTCAAAAGCAGTGAGAGAAAGAGAGCTGTGTGGAGGAACATTCCAGAGCAGGAGCCTGAGCGAAACAGATGCAGCCAACCCCAGGCAATTATTTCCTGGTGGTCCTGAGTCCTACTCTCTCCGCTGGCTTTCCTCCACTTTTAAGCCACATGAGCTAAAATGTTACATACCACACCTTAGGGAAACTCCCGTCACATTGGATGAGGGCCATGGTGGAATTAAAGTGTGTCACATTCCACCTTCAATCCTTCCCCAACTGTTTGGTTTTATCAGATCTTGGGGGATCAGTACAGAGTTTCCACATTCTACCAGTCCACATGTATATTTTGGGGGGAGAATACAAGTCAATGTATGACAGATTGCCAGCTTCAGGCAAAACTGAATTCTTGAGGAACCTTAGGGAACTGAAGCGAGCATGCTGTATCGTACATCAATCTTGAAGGTCAGAGACACCAGGCTGCAGGGTGGCAGGACTCCCAGAGCGAGCCTGCCTGTCTTTCCTGTTCAGACAGCTCCCAGCGCTGGCTGGGACCCAGCCAGGGTGGCAGAAGCCACCAGCAAAGCATGAATGGAAACATTCAGGAAGTTAGAGCCGTGTCAATGAGAAAGAAGATTTCCCCTTGTGCACATGACTAAGAGGAACAGAGCTGAAAGTAAAACTTTTTTTTTTCTATTAGAGCTGAGGTTACAAAAGATGTTATCAACAGGTTGTGTGAGTGATAACTGAGAACTCCAGGAAGGCTGGCCCATCGCAGTTTCATCACTATGGCCCTGTGTTGGATCACACACATCATAGACATTAATTAAACATGTCCCCAAAGAGTTAAAAATGCTTGAGAAATG